GTAGTCCCCGACCTGGTGCGGAAGGCTTCCCGGCTGGTTGCTCTGTCAGCCAGACTAGCTGCCCCCCACCTGGTCCTCACCCTAACAGGTTCACCTCCCCGCCAGCCCTGGAAGTTATTCCAACAAGTAACTCACATCTTCCCCGGGGAACCAGTGATCTCTTGTTACTACAAAGCCTGCTTCCTGTGGCCCCTGCTGGTGGCTGCCCGCGTATGAGTACAGCCTGGGCGGGGGGTCGGCCGCCTGTCTGCCCCCCTCCTCCCTCCTCCCTCTCCTCCCTCCCCCTCTCCGGGCTGTCTGGGTGACATGTCCATTGTCAGGTGTTATCCATTGTCAAGTGTTTGCCATCCCCAGGACCCAGGGGTGGGACTCCCTCGCCAGGGGGGCGAATGGAGGCGAACTAGGGGCTGCCCTGGGAACCTTCATGTTCCCACGTGCGGTTACATTCAGCGATGAGTGTTTCAAAGGGGCATCGGGCTTAAATAAACATAATAACTTAGTCGTTTTAGTTTTGGGTTTTGCTTTAAAAAACTAACGATTTTCCTTTCTAGGTGAAAGCAGCATTTAATGAGGAAACCCGCTGTTATGAAATCAGGACGGGCTCGGGCTGCAGACGGCACGAGGAGGTGTTCATCTGCTATGGCCCCCACGACAGCCGGCGGCTGCTGCTGGAGTACGGGTTTGTTCCCTGCGGGAACCCCCACGCGTGTGTCCCCGTCTCACAAGGTCGGATGAACTTCGGTTCCTATCACTAAGATGGTATACACTTCCCCATCTGGGGGTGAGGTTCTTTTAAGTTTTAATAAAAATGGCAATCCTTTTTTTTCCTTCTAAATATTTTTATTGATATCAGAGAGGAAGGGAGAGGGAGAGAGATAGAAACATCAGTGATGAGAGAGATTCACTGATCGGCTGCCTCCTGCACGCCCCCCAGTGGGGATCGAGCCCGCAACCCAGGCTTGTGCCCTGACAGGGAATTGAACTGTGACCTCCTGGTTCATAGGTTGACACTCAACCACTGAGCCATGCCGGCCGGGCAGCAATCCTTAAAATGTATGTTGTTTATTTTCTCCGAGGTAGGGCTCTGGCTCGCTTCACTCTGGCTGACCATGTAATTGCGATAATGAAGTAAACACAACGAAGCTTTGACCGACATTGAGGATGAGAAGAACCGAGAAGAGTTTATTGTGTTCGGTCAGACAGGAATGGAGGACCAGGAAGCGTGCTAAGGAAATGCATATTTAATAGATGGAAAGAAATGGAGATCTCTGTACTGAGACGTTTCACTGTCACTAAAGATGGAACAGGATTAGAAAGCCACACACATAAACATTCAGCACTGCTGTGTGTGAAGCACTGCTCACCACAGAGACGCATGCCAGTCCTTGTTCCGGGGCGCGGTGCGTGATGAAGTCCTGGGTTACGCTCTTTTGTGGCCATTAAGTAGCCCTCATCCTTGGTGTTATCTTTCTAAGATCAGGATTTAGCTAGTAAATTTATGCTGTGGCCCAGCTGGCGTGGCTCAGTGGTTGAGCGTTGACCGACCTATGAACCAGGAGGTCACCTTTCAATTTCCAGTCAGGGAACATGCCTGGGTTGCGGGCTCCATCCCCAGTAGGGGGCGTGCAGGAGGCAGCTGATCAGTGAGTCTCTCTCATCATTGATGTTTCTCTCTCTCTCTCTCCCTTCCTCTCTGAAATCAGTAAAAATATATTTAAAAAAACTTATGCTGTGAATATTCCCAGCATAGTGGGAAACAGTACGTGGAAGCCTGGTCCCTTCTGAGGCGGCAGGGACTGTCTCCACGCGTGCGGAGCAGCACAGTCACCGCGTGTATAATTGAGGTGGTTTTAATACAAGTTCTAGCGGAAATAGAAACGTGTCGAGGTGCTGCTACTCCATCCTACGGGCAGAATAATGCTGTTCTTTATGAAATAAAATAGAAATGCACAAGCGGGCCTTGCTGGTGTCTCAGAAAAGGGGCTTTGAGATTAGCCTCGTGTTATCAGAATAACTTTAACATGATGACCATGAAATGCTGACTTGTGATCAACATTTATGTATTAGTGATTATTGCATTTAAAAATAAAGACAAATACGAAAAGAAAATTTAAAAATACAAAAGTCCCTCATGACTCTGCTGCCCAAGTGGCTCAGCCACTGTTTGCATCCTCACTTTGAGTTGCTCAGGTTGTAGTCACAGTTGTGCAGACAGTTGTGAATCTGCGTTTAGAAACTCCGCGCCTCGTGTTGGTGCAGAGCCTGCCGCGGAGGTGGGCTTCCGAGCAGGCCCGCTGGGGGCGGTCGTCGGGACTGGGCTTGTTGGCCCGTGTGCCCAGTGGGAGCGTGAGCTGGGTTGCGGGTGTTTGGTCCCTGCCTCGTGGAGTTGTTGTGGCTTTTCTGGAGCTGATGACGACCTCATTGCGTGGGCCTTGACGAATAGACCTCTTTTTTGTATGAAATAGGTAAAACTATTTCCGTATGGCTTGATTGCAATGGGAAGGAAAGTAAGCTGAGAAGGAAAGGTTTATACTTTTGTCTGAATTACATCCTAAATCTCAGTCTGATTTTTTTTATGTAGATGTGCTTGTGAAATATCTTCCATCAACAGATAAGCAGATGAACAAAAAGATTTCCATTTTAAAGGATCATGACTTTATAGAGTAAGTGTTCCTCTCTCTCAAAATTGTTCCATCGGGAAATTGTGATGAGAAAATGGAGGTTAGGGTTCTGTAGGGATGAGACACCTTCTGACTCTCACCAGCTGGCAGGAAGGTGTTTATCGAGCACTTACTCTGTGCAGTGAGCGGTGCTTGGTGTTGTGGGGCACACGGGAGTGTAAGATACTTCCCCAGAAAGCTTTTCAGGGACGCGGAGGCCAGCTTGGACAGGAAGTCATGGTGCCAGAAGGGAGCCTGGATGAGTTGGTTGTGGCCCAGGTGGCATTGGTCTCTGAATGTGATACGGTGGGTGGCATCGGCTGGTGGAGGCCAGGCTGGCCCTCCCCGACCACGGCGTGGGCTCTGGGGATGGGGGTGGCTGGTGACTTCACACCCAAAGGGAGAAGAGGGTCAGGGCTCTCCCTTCGGTGATGAAGTGCAGTTGTGAGTGACCCAGCTCCGTCCCAGGCCGGTCGCGCTGTGGTGCTGCCGCTAGTTTAACCCCCAGACACCCCAGAGGTGTCAGCCTCCGTCTCCCTGTGACTGGCCGTGCCTGCCGCTGGGACCTCCTCCAGCTCCAGCTTCTGACCCAAGTGCATTGGAAAATGGCTTGCGTTTTTTTTTTTTTTAACATGAGAGATTTTCCCGTTACTCAGGCTTTATCATTAGATATTTGAAGACTTACTTTCCTTTTGTCTTTCTGACCAAGGCCGCAGGCTCCATAACGTTTAGTGGCCGCTTTAGAGAAACTGCTTTAGCCCTGGTCCCGAAGTACTAGTGACGGCTTGTCCTGTCCCCCCTCGCAGAAACCTGACGTTCGGATGGGACGGGCCGTCCTGGAGGCTGCTCACGGCCCTGAAGCTGCTGTGTCTGGAGGCTGGAGAATTGTGAGTGCACGTGGGCGGTCAGTCTGTAGCTCTGGGATGCCATCGTGGGCGTGGGCCGCGTGCTCTTGATGCCACTCACCCGCCGGCTGGGTGTTTCTCTCCTTAGTTTTCCGGGTTCTGTTTGAGCATCACAGTCAGAACTTCTAGTCTCTCCTCAGAGGTTCCCCCCTGGGACCTGCAGCTCCTTGTTCAGAAGTGTGGGCACAGGCACTGCCCAGAGGGGAGTCTGAGTGGGTGGTTTTCCCGGAGCCAACAGAGCTCCTGCCCCTCCCCCTCCTCCTCCCCCTCCCCTGTTCTGCCCCAGGGGCAGATCCAGGGAGAGGCCTGGGCGTTTTCATGGGGAGGCGGCAGGGGAGCCCCTGGTGTAACATGGGTCCTGGTCAGGCTTTTGGTACCCCCCCCCCCAACCCCCCCCCGTGGAAAGGACCGAGGCTCCCGTGGTGTGTGCTGTGCTGCCTGGCCCGGAGCTCCTGCAGCCGGTGCTGGTCTGGTCAGAGCCAGAGCAGAGAAGCCGTGTGCAGGGAGGATGTTCTGAAGGGTGAAGCGTCCCTGAGTGGTTGGGAGGGTTCCCTGAGATAGCTCAGCGCCCAGAAGTGGTGGTGCTGGCTCAGTGGGGCCTCTATGTTTTGGTTCTGCATTTCTTTTTTTAAAATTTATTTTGTTGATTTTTTACCGAGAGGAAGGGAGAGGGATAGAGAGTTAGAAACATCGATGAGAGAGAAACATCGATCAGCCGCCTCCTGCACACCTCCTACTGGGGATGTGCCCGCAACCAAGGTACATGCCCTTGACCAGAATCGAACCTGGGACCCTTCAGTTCGCAGGTCAACGCTCTATCCACTGAGCCAAACCGGTTAGGACTGGTTCTGCATTTCTAAGCGCCTTCTGTTTACTTGCACCCGGATGTTGCCGCAGGCCCAGTCACCGTGCCTTTCACCGTCCAAGCCACTTCCTCTGCCGATTCTGTACGCCCAGCATCTGTTCCTCCACCCTCCTCCCATTAGTGCTTCTCTCAGCATATGGAGTGGCGCTGCCACCTTCGGCTCAGCATCCTGCTGTGGCTCCCTCTTTAAAAAAAAATGTTCTTACTGATTTCAGAGAGAGGAGGGGAGGGAGAGAGACTCACCGATCTGCCGCCTCCTGGACTCCCGCACGCCCCTCACTGGGGATCAAGCCCACTACCCCGGGCATGTGCCCTGACTGGGAATCGAACCGTGACCTCCTTGGTTCGTGGGTCGACGCTCACCCACTGAGCCACGCTAGCCGGGCTGCTCTTGCTCCCTCTTGCCCACCCTCAGACATGTATCCTACCTGCCGGCCCACTGCGCCCGGCCCAGGGTCGCGCGGTAATGAGAGTGTCGGGCCCGCTTCCTGCTCTCGCCGTGCCTTCTTGTGAACCTCGTCCGTGTCAGCACAGGAGGAGCACGGGCGGGAGCGTGGGGAGTGCCTGTGGGGGGTTTATGAGAGGAATCCACTGTGTGACGGGCTTTGCGATGCTTCTGGAAACAGGAGAGGGCTGTGTGTGTTGTTTAGTTGTAAAAGTCGTCTTATTTTTTGAGACCCTGCTGAAATGATCTTATAAACATTTTGGTTCTAGTCCTCGCTGGAAAAAAGTCCTTCTTGGGGAGAGAATTTCAGATACAAATGAGAAGACGAGTTTGGACGTCGCCCAGAAAATATGCCGTTATTTCACAGAGGAGGCTAGTGCTATGCTTCAAAAGGTATGTTTCTATAATTTTGCATCTTTTTTTAATGTATTTTTTTATTGATTTCAGAGAGGAAGGGAGAGGAAGAGAGAGGTAGAAACATCAATGATGAGAGGGAATCATTGGCTGCCTCCTGCTCGTTGGAGCCCGCACCCCAGGCATGTGCCCTTGACCGGAATTGAACCTGGGACCCTCCCGTCCGCAGGCTAATGCTCTCTCTGCTGAGCCAAACCTGCTAGGGCTTGCATCTTTTTCTTAAAGAAGTGTTTTGATTAAGAAGTGACTTGTTTTGGGCACGTTGGATAGGGATGGTACACCTTCTTTGAGTGTTGCTTAATGTGACCCCTGTGAAAGGGTCGTTCGACCCCCAAAGGGGTCTTGACCCACAGGATGAGAACTGCTGCCTTAAATGCATGAACATTGATGTAATCTGTTTTTTGACTGTTAACATTCTGTCTGCACCTTTTAATAGGTAAAATTATTGCATGAATTCTTGGTAATAGATTTTTAAGTACTCTTTTCCTTTTATTTTTACTTAGTAACTATTTTAATTAAATGAGAAAACAGCTGCTCTAGTCGGTTTTGCTCAGTGGATAGAGTGTTGGCCTGTGAACTCAAGGGTCCTGGGTTCGATTCTGGTCAGGGCACATGCCTGGGTTGTGGGCTTGATCCCCAGTGTGGGGCGTGTAGGAGGCAGCCAGTCAGCGATTCTCTCTCATCATTGATGTTTCTATCTCTCTCCCCCTCTCTCTTCCTCTCTGAAATCAATAATAAAAAAAACCCCAGCTCATTTGAATAAAAACAAAACTGGGATTTAAAATATTTTAAGGAACTTTGAAGGCAACATTGTGCTAAGTGGCATAAACCCGAATGCAGAAGACAAACTGCGCGGCTCCCCCTCTGGGACCGACGGTGGAGGATGCCAGGGCTGGGGAGGTTGTGTTTAATGGGGACAGTGTCCGGTGATGATTACATAACATTGTGGACATTCTAAATACCACTGTCCGTTCATTTAAAAGTGCTCAAAATGGTAAATGTTATGTATGTTTTATTATATTAAAAAGTTTAAAAATAACTTCCAGGTTTCTCACATGAAAGATAAAGAAATGGCGTTGATACACCAGCTCACTTTGGTGGAAACGTTGTGGACAGAAGAGCTGAAGATCCTCCGGGCATCTGCCGAGACCCTGAGCGGTTTGCAGGCCGCTGTTCGTGACTCACCCACGTGCCTCCGATCGCCTCCCCTGCTGGGTGTCGCCCCCTCTGCGGGGTGTGACGCCTGAAACACTGTACACTAAGGTTCGTTTTACCCTGAATCCTTTCTAGATCTTGGCTCTGGATTTATACTGTTCACAGCGTTTTCACGCCTGTTAATAACATCAGGACAAGGGGGCGGGTGTCAGAGCAGGAATATCATTCCACGGAAGCCAAGAGCTGCTGCTTAGAAACACTGGACATTGTCGAAGCACAACACGATGCGGTGTTCCCTTCTGGGTGCAGGATGAGCTGCTTCCACTTCTCCCAGCTGAACGTCTCCAAGGACCATGGCGACCGGGGTTCTGGGAGGCAGGAGAGGGAGTACTGCCAGTCGCCGCCCGTCATCTTGAAATGCAGCAGCCCATGCTGCGTACAGCTTAATCCCAAGCTCAAGTACACGAGTCCTCGGCTCAGCCGGTCAGTGCCACGTGAGCGGCAGAACACACGGTGCTCAGCACTCGGTGCTCGTCCCGGCCTCCTGTGAGAACAAGCCCCACTGGCCCTTCACAAGGGCTGGGCTGGTGTCTGAGGAGCAGAGCAGAGTTGGGCTCAGCAGTGAGCTGGAGACGCTTCCCTCTTCGTCCACTGGGTGGCGCGAGAGGACCGGGAGCCGGAAGGCTGGCTCCTCAAAAGCAGGCAGTTGTGTTCAGTGGGAGTGGGATCTGGACAAAGCAAAGCGACTCTGTGCTCCTGGGACAGAACGCAGGTGTCCCTGCTCTCCTGGGGGCCTTGGCCTCCTTGGGTGAGAACAGGCAGCCTCACAGCAGTTCAGGGCGAAGGGGCCTGGCCAGGTGTGGGGCTCAGAGGTGAGGGTGGGGGGGTAGGTCATAAGATGCAGGACTGCCTGTCAGCCTACGACAGGCCATAAGGAAATGTCAGTGTGTGGCCCTTTTTCTTGAGCAGAAGAAAATGCCTCATCGCAGGGAGCAGGTTTTAGTTCCATGTCTTCGAGAGCAGGCAGGCAGGTCCTGGCCAGGCAAACAGGAAGGCTCATTCCAAGGGTGTAACCTGAGCCCCCACCCAGAAGGGGGCCTGCTCCTGTGACGGCTTCTGCCAGGCGTGTCTGGAGCCGGGAAGGAGCCTTCCTCTGACGGGCTGGCCGTCCGTCCTCAAAGGCGTGCGTTTGACGTGAGGACAGAGCCTCAAGGTCGAGTGGAGTGTGCCCGGTGTCCTTGGACTCCTGCGTCCACGTTGACTGACAGGCTCCGATCCCAACCGGCTGGTGACAGGCGTCAGGTGGCCCCGCACATCACTCGTTTGAAATGATGTCTTGGGCCTGCTGGGCCGTCCCAGGGCCCCGTTGTCTGTCCTCAGGTGGAGACGCGCTCACCGTGCAGGTCCTTGGACCCTCCGCGCCACCTCTCCGTGATGCACATCCCGCCCCGCCTCGAGCGGGCGGCATTCCATGCAGAGCGCCTGCAGGGCCTGGCGAGCCCCTGCTGCAGGTTTGAAGGTTCCCCTGGAACTGGACGCGGAGAGAGACCCACACGTGGCCGTCGGTCTGATCGGAGTCGCCTGACGGTGGCGGCTGTTTGTCTGGAAGCCATCTTGCTGAGGAGGTCAGGTGGGGGTCAGGCGCTGTTTCTCATGTGGTTTAATGTGCAGGCGAGGCTGGAGCCATGGCTCACGTGGGCTCGACAGAAACTGAGAGGAAGGATTCCGTCTCCATTCGGGAGCAGGAGCAGCGTCCTGGCAGGGCCGCGGGAGCCCATCTTCCTCCTTTATTATCTGTGGTGGCAGGAGCCCCGGAGCTCACCTACAACCCGCTCCCCACGGGGGTCTGCAGCCAGCAGCGCCCGCGCCCCGGGAGCTCGCCGGTTAGAAAGGAGACTCACACCCTGGCCTGCCGCGTCCGAGTCTGCGCAGTGACGGATGTCAGAAACGCTGCCCCCGAGTCAGATCCGCCGCCCCGGGCCAGCTCTCCGGCGTCTCCAGGGCCCGCGTGGGTGCGGGGCCAGCTCGGTGCCAGGCTGTGCCATCCATGCATGGAGTCCTCCTCGCCGGGCACCGTTCTCTCGATGGATGGGGAAAGCCCGGCTCAGGCCAGGGGGCGAAGTCCCTGCCGCAGACAGCAGAGCCGGGGCCGAGCGCGGATGGGGCCAGGGATTTGCGCCGAAGCATCTCTGCGCAGACACCTTTGCAGCAGACGTTTCCGCGCAGACATTTCTGCCTCATAACTAATGGGCTGTGAGGCATTTCTGCCGTAAGAGAGAGAGAATGACTGGCTGGCAGGTTTGTTGTTTGGCTTTATTTCTCTATTGACGAAGCAGTCAAGTGCCGTAAAAATAAAAATAACTGGTGGCGATTTGCTTTTCTTGTTTTGCTTCATTTCTCCATGGATGAGGTTCTCACAGTCGCTCCTGTTTTAGGTTAGGTCGCGTGTAGCTCTCAGCCAGCCCTTAGCATCGTTGGCACTTGTCCCCGATGACATGACTTCCCCAGGAGCTGGGTTCTCATCCTGCAAGAGGACACGGGGAGGGGAAAGCAAGGCCAGGCCCCCGAGGGCAGAGCCAGGCCCACGGCTCCCACGGAAGGAGAAAGTGCTTCGGCGCCGTCCACAGAACAGAGTCTGCTGTTTGTGCGGTGTTGCCATGACTACAGTTTAAATGTAGTCACATAGTCTGCATCTCACAGGAAACTTTTGAATTTTGTTTTTCACCTTTTCATGTTTCATTATGCCCTTCCAAATGTCCCTCTTTTTTATTTATTTATTTGTTTATTTATTATTTTATTTTATTTCTTTTTTTTTTATTGCTTAAAGTATTACAAAGAGTATTACATATGTCTCCTTTTTCCCCCGCCCTTGACAATCCCCTGGCCTCCCCTACCCCCCAGTGTCTATGTCCCTCTTTTAAATATCGTGATTTTACCTTTTTAATGGTAAAAGGTAACTAGTTATGTGGTGAGGATGTTTGCTGCAGGGATGCTGTGGCCACGGTATGGGCCAGAGCATGTGGTGGGACGGACTTCTCCCGGCCCATTTCTGGCTGCCTGGGGTTCTGGGACAGGAAGGCCTAGCGGAGGAGGACAGGCGGGGGGCTGGGGTGTGGGGAGGACCGGGCAGTGCCCTCTGCGCTGGCTGTGCCTGTTCTGTCCTGTGCTTCGGTCCCCGCAGCCGGCTCTGACGTGCTGCAGGCTCGCAGGTGGATGGAGCCGGCGGGGCTGCCGGCAGTCTGGGGTCTGGGGGTGATTTCACGGCATTGTTGGCGCCCATTAGTTCAGATTTGTGCAGAATGACGGAGCAGCCCCCAGTGCCCTTCCTTTCTTTATTGCGTGTTTTCTTTGTGAGGGGAATAAAGAGCCGACTGCCTTTTAAGGGACAGGAACACTGAGTTTTGTCTTCCCATCCCATTACTGTCAAACAAGTCACCTGAGAACTCGGGTCACATGGTCCGGCTTGCAGGAGCGCGGCGCTCCCGAGAGGACGGCTCACAGGGGTTCTCAGCAGACCGAGAAGAATGCCTTTTATCATGTTCTGCTTTCTACCTCCCACTGTTTTATTTCCCTTCCAGCATCACTCAGGCCCAAATGGTATTTGTCAGGAGTAATTGGCGAGCGCCGGAGGCTGTGTTCAGTCTGCTTGAATGGAAAATCTCAAAGCGGTTGTCATGTTGAAAGAAAATACTACATTTGATCTTTTTTTATGATTTCTGCAGACATGGTGCGTGTCTGCATTTTTAGCCTCATGGCCCCTGTACATTTGGGGGAAACGCCCTGCAGGAAGTAGCACTTCGAAGTTCATTCACCTTCTGCGGAGAAGCAACCCCCGCACATGGGGGTCACTTAGAAACCAGATTTATTTCCACTAGGGGCTCGGGAGCCGCTGGGCGCAGGGTGCTGGACACCCACTCCGGACGTAGGGCTTCGCGTCTCGTGTCCGTTCCTGCGAGGATGTTTATTCTTCTGGGTGAAACGGTGCCTGAGGGCGGTGGCGGCCATCCTCCAGCCCTGCGCCGGCCGGCCTCTCGCCGCCCCTTTCCGGGCAGGACGTCGGGCCCGCGGGGAGACTCCTGGTCAGAGAGCAGAGCGGCGAGACCGAGAGCGAGGCCGGGCATGCAGACGGCCTCTCGGACGGTCCCAGCACGGGGCACAGGGGTCAGTGTGGAGGCTTTCCAGGGGCACGCAACCCCGTCGAAGGCCCCGTCCTCCATGTTCCCACGTGTATCCACACACGCCCTGAGGAGTGCCCTCGCCGCCACAGGCCGCAGAGCCGGGGGACGGACGCCCCACCTCTCGGACGGTCCCCAGCACGGGGCACGGGGGTCAGTGTGGAGGCTTTCCAAGGGCACGCAGCCCCGCCGAAGGCCCCGTCCTCCATGTTCCCACGTGTATCCACACACACCCTGAGGAGTGCCCTCGCCGCACAGGCCGCAGAGCCGGGGGACGGACACCCCACCTCCCGTCTAGAGCGCTGGGCTGCTGAGTCATGAGTCATGAGTCACCACCGTGTTGTAGAAAACTCTAGATTGGGGGTCAGCAAACTGTAGCCACTCCCTGTATTTATAAATAAAGTTTTTTAAAAATGGGAAATTTTTTATTGTGGTAAAATATGCATAACATAGAATTTGCCATTTAAACCATTTTAAATGTACAATTCAGTGGCAGTGAGTATCATGTTGTGTAACCATCACCATTTCCAAAACTCTTCCATGGCCCCAAACAGAAATTCTTTACCCATTAAATGGTAACTCCCCAGCCCCCTCTCCCCCAGTACCCGCTAACCTCTAATCTATTTTGTCTCTGTAACTTGTCTGTTCTCAATATTTCATGTAAGTGGAATCATGTAACATTTGCCCTTTTGTGTCCGGTCTGTTTCACTTAGCACAGCTTCTGAGGTCCAATCACGTAGCAGGTGCCAGGACTCCCTTTTTTATGGCTAATACTCCACTGTATGTAAGGGCTACATTTCTTTTTTCTTCTTAAATATATATTTTTATTGATTTCAGGGAGGAAGAGAGAGGGAGAGAGAGAGAGAGAGAGAGACATCAATGATGAGAGAGAATCATTGATCGGCTGCCTCCTGCACGCCGCCTCCTGGGATTGAGCCTGCAACCTGGGCATGTGCCCTTGGCTGGTATCAAACTTGGGACCCTTCAGTCCTCAGTCTGACACTATCCACTGAGCCAAACCAGCTAGGGCCACATTTCTTTCTTTCTTTTTTTAAAATATATTTTATTGGTTTTTCACATTTCTTTTTTGAGGGGGACATTTTCCTCTAGCCTCTTGGGTTCAGTGGCTGGGGCCTGTGAATTAAACCGACAAAAGATAGATCAACAGGAGTAAAGATTTATTTTGCGTGTACACAGGGGCTACACAGAAAAGCCATGAAAAAGCCAAGAAGTAGTTAGGCTTAAGAGCTTATGTACCATTTTACAAAAGGGCAGTAAGTTGTAGAGAAGTGACTAGACAAAGGAAGAGAGATTTGGGCTTCCCGGGGGAAGGTAAATTGCGGGAAGCTAATGGAGGATAAGGGCTGTTTAGTAAGGTTCGTTACACCGACTCCAGTTGGCAGGCCCCGTGATAGGAGTCTGGTGATTCAGACTTGTCTCTTCCTGGCATGAGGGGCGGAGGGTGGGGGTGGGGGGGAACCTTTCCAAATGGAAACCTACGCTCAGGTTTTTGGCCCAAAGGAGGGTGGAGAGTTCCTCGTGCACCTGCTGTTTCTCAGGCGCCTTCAGCGGAGGAGCCCGTACGCCAACGTGGCCCCTTTTGGGGCAGCCTTTTCTGACCCCGTTCACACGGTTCAGCCCAGTGCAGCACGTAAGGGATGACACGGACGTCCAAGCTGTAGAGATGTGTGTGTATCTGGCACAACGACAGCCCGGCGTGGACTCCGAGTTTCAGAAAATATCAACAAATGTTGTCGGGAAATGAGGCAAATGACGCTGTGCTTTTTTTGGGTGACTTTTATAAAACAGCCACGTGTTGGGTAAAGCAGCCACGAAAGATCTCAGAAACCCGTCACTCTATAGGCAAAAACATCATGTTGCTGATGTAATTATTGAGACTTACTTTTTCAATGTATTTTAAGGAATAGGTTATATTTAAAAGGGGTGTTGGTTTTGTTCTGTATCCCAAGGATAACGAAGCAAGCATGCACCATAATAAATACGTTTAAATAAACATGATTTTTGCTAAAAATCACAACAAATGGAATTCACTGATTTTTGAATGTTCCGGTGGAAGAGGTGAGGCCCTGACCGCACAGGTGCTGGCTCTCAGCTAACAGGGACACAGCAGATCCAAGCGACCGGACCCCCTGGGATGCGTGCCTGAGAGTTAACTGGAAAGCGGAAGTTAGTGCCGCTGGTTGCACATCTCTGCGTGCTAACTGCTCGGAGGAGGACGTGGCGGCGTTCTCGTCCACATGAACGCACGCGCCGCTCACGCATCCTTTGCTTATCCTTGCTGCCTGTCTTACCGAAAATGTACTCCCAGCCCTGGCCGGTGTGCTCAGTGGTCAGTGTCGGCCTGCACAGCGGAGTGTCGCAGGTTAGATTCCTGGTCGAGGGCTCGTACCCCCACCCCCAGTTGGGGATGCAGGTCCCACCCCCACCCCCAGTTGGGGTGCATGTGGGAGGCACTCAGGCATGTGTCTCTCTCACATTAATATTTCTCTCTCTCTGCCCCTCCCCCCTCCCTCTCACTCTCTCAAAATCAATGGAAAAAATATCCTCACTCCTTGGGTGAGGATTAAAAAAAAGAAAGAATGTATCCCGAGTGAAATTCAGAAGAAACAGCAACTGCAGAACCACACCTCCCAGCAGTACAGCCACAGCCAGGGCCTTCGGTTGCGTGCGGCGGGACCTTCTCCTTCCTTCTGGCCCACGGTGTCCTCTCCTTTTCCTAAATCGAGGAAGTGCATCCGAAACGACACTATTCCAGGGATGACATCGGACGGACCCTAAGTTATCGGGAGAGTAATTAAACCTCATGTCAGTGCTGTTCCGTTTTTATTACTGATTTGTGCACACCCGGTGCTGGCCGGGAGAGGGGGAGTGTTGGTCTCAGGCAAGAGGACGTCCCGGCTGAGCACGCGGGGCTTCCCCAGCAGCGCAGGGCAGCTTTCTGGGAAGAGACGGCCGAGCAGGGCAGAGAGGGCGCTTCCTGTGCAAGTTCTCGGTGCCCAGGCTGCCCGAACAGCCAATCCTCAAGGGGTCACATTTTTGCTGCTTGCATGAAAAGTGGGTACAATAAGGGTGCACCTTGCTAACAAGTTGATGTCAGCCTGCAGGCCGTCTGGGCTCAATCTTCTGGAAGAAAGAACCGTGGATGGGGCCGCTCAAACAGCAAGCGTTTATGACTCGG